CTATCTCTGTTCCTTGGATGTTTATCATAGGTTTGTCATCTTTGTTTGACATTAGTTTTAGTTTTGCTGAAATTCATTTTCAGTTCTTTTTTTAGGGATTCTTGTGGTAGTTCCTCAATCAACGTATTCAGGCATTTTACGTGTCGGCTATTAGTACTAACATCATCTGCGTATCTAAGATGATGCAAGTATCTTCCGTTAATAGGGATTCCCTTATTTTCCAATCTATTGACTTAAAGATATTTTCTAGTGCAGCTGTAAATAATTTTGGATATATTGTGGCTCCTTGTTCGATTCCATTACCCAACGTCACTATCATTTCAGCTTGTTCGTTAATATTATATATTAATATTCCGTACCTGAGTACAGAAACCTAATAAAGGAGTTATAATAATCACATACTTTCCAATGTCTCAGAGTGCCTCAATGCAGTGTATTATACCTTCTATCTCCTTCGCTAAACTTATTAGAATTACTTGTTTCTATTTTTCTGACCGTCTGGATAACCTTCGAACTTTTGTCCTGCAGCATCAGCCTCCTGTTTTGGAATTTAGGAACACTGTTCTTATTGCATTGTGAATGGCTATTTCAAAGTCTGTCACAATAATTTCTGGGTTCAGATTTAATCCCAATACTTAGCATTTAATTTACAAAAGTTTTATAAAAAAAAATTTGTAAGAACATTTTCTTATTTGGTAGTAAACAAAAATCAAGTGGAATATAATATCCATTTTCAATACAGTGAACCCGATTATCTCGTCAGGCACCGGACCAAGCGTATGACGATAATCGAAAAGACGGTTAAAAGAACATTAAAAAAAATTCATAGTATAACCCTCAAATTTTATTTGTATGTTTTATTTGACAATATAAGACGGATTTATGTTAAGTACAGTCGAAACAATTTGATTTAAAATTATTCCGAAATCTTTGTTTTAATTGTACTTCACATTTTGCAACGGCTGAATTTCTTAATCGACGTAAAATTATTAAATCTACCTTATCTACTTCTTCTTGTCGAGAATACCACTTGATGAATTGTTGTATGTTACGATGCAGCTCCTCTAGCATCTTTACTCAAATCTTTGTGACTCTGTAATAGCATCATCAAAACTATCGTTCCGGTCAGCAATCGATAGCCGTTTGCGTCTCTCATCACAAATTAACCATTCGTTTTATGACATCTTTAGGGCAACAAAACAAAACAGTTGATTCAGCCGTAACTATCATTTAAGGAAAGCATTTTCATCTTAAGTTGATTCAAGCCATAATTTATTCCAGGCTCTTTTTAGTGTTACCTCGCCTGAAACATCAGCCAGAGCATTCACAGCATTGTCGACTGCGCGTTTTAAATTGTATGCTTTGCAGCATTCTGCTAAGAATATTACTCTTCCGTAATTAGTTTTGAATATAAATTTTTTCCTGTATCTTTTTTTGATTGTATTAATGACCGAATGATTCATTGGTTGTATCAATGATGTATTCGCATACAGAAAAGAGTACGTGATATTTTTATCGTCACTCCGCAGCATACCGGCTTTACGATGGGCATGGGCATTGTCCAAAATGAGAATCGTCTTTGGTGGAAATTTTTTTGCAAACAAAATGTAATGAGGACTAAATTTTTACTTATGTTTTCAATAAAACTTATTATGGATCCTGACGGTTAACAGAGGTGACGGTTAATAGAGAGACGGATAATCGAGGTTCCACTGTATATGCAGTATGAACAACTGCAAGAACTTATCTGGACCGTAGCTGAATGTACCTCAAATACCGATATATGTATATCCTTTTCCCATATCAGTTGGCCCAACGCACGTTTATAGCGGCTTCCCACGATCGGTGATTGGCGATTCTACAGATCATCGCGCAGAGCTGATGAGCATGGACGGCAAAGTACCGCAGACAGAGCTCTTTCGGTTCGTGACATCTGTGTAGGTTTCTGCTGTTTGTTTTTTCCTTCTGTATGTCGACATTAAATTGTCTCTCTTCTTTTTTAAGCTTTAATCGAAGTAGTACTATTCTTCGATTGATTTTTTATTATTCGGTTCCATGCATCGTATAATATATGCATAATAAACTTGTTTCATTTTATACAAATTTAAAAAAAATCAAAAATAACTTGTTTGTCCATTCCATTTTTTAGCAAAAAGTACAAAAAACTTTGACAACACCACAGCCAACTACTCTGTAAGCGAATGAACAACTTCTGACTTGCACTTATCTGTTAAAACAAGGACGCGCTCGGATCGCGTCGCAGGGGCATGTACCAGCACCTTTATTGTTACCGACTCTCGATGATACGACGCACTAGCACAGACGTGACTGTGCTACCACGGACGAGACATTTCCACACGGTGCGTCGTGCGAGCTGTCCGCGTGTGTGTGTCCGATAGTGGGAAGCAGCTTATTTTAATTGATAAGAACATTAAATTTTAGAGAACAAAAATAAAATCGCGGCAGCGTAAATTTTAAAAGTTTTAAGGCATCGAACAATAATTTTGAATTCTCCAATTTTATAATTTCCAAGTAAAATATTTTTATAACGTAAATGAAAACTATTGAATTAAACAGAATAATAATATATTAAAAAAAAAAAGCATAAAATAAGTAATATTAACAAAAAAAAGAATATGAAAGTTTACCACTGAGTTACATCCCCTTATTATTTTATGGCATTTACAGTTCTTTGAGGGCATAGTTTTTACCAAGTTCTGACAAATTCTAACGTAAAATGAATCCCATATTTCTTACAATTTTTCCTTTAATTCGTTGACAGACGTGGAAGGATCTTTTCTTAAGCTTTTTTCATTTCGTGGCAAAAAACTCTCTATCGGGGACAATTCGGGACTGTTAGAAACCCATTTCAGAAATGGTTTGCCATGGTTTTCAATCCATTTTAAACTCTTTTTTTGAGGTATTACAACCTGTGCTGTCCTGTTGGAAGACAAAATCTTCGCAGGTGTTAAACGGTGTTTCCATAATTGAAAAAAAGATTCTTATAAAATATTCAAATATTTGTCCGTGTTTACAATCCCATCGATAAAATGTAACTTCCCCACACATTTAGACGACAATACTGCCCCAGATCATGACAGATGCAGGAAATTTGACTTTTCTCTTCAGGCAGTCGGATGAAAACTTCATTATTTTTATGCAAATGGCACGACTCCTACTGTCTCCAACACACACTTCAAATCTGGACTCATCACTCCGACTGTATTGAATCCCATTGCGACTGAGTCCAATCTTTATGCTCTTTGAGTCTATGCTCTTTGAGTCTATCATCTTAGTCTATTTTTCTTTTGTTGTAATTTTAAAAGTGGCTATTCCTTAGCCTAAAATAAAATGAAATTTATTAAAAACAATTCTTACTAATTTTTCTAAAAAGAGATTCCAAATAAAGGAATTAATGCAAGTTTTCAATACCTCCTAGAATTGCTCAAGGTAATTCCAATAGATTACGCCGGCAGAACACACAGCGTTTGTTACAACATCAGAATAGTTAGTAAGTGAGGAATGTTTGAAATGTCAACTATTTTGTCAAACTATTATATTAACAGTAAATACACTTAGTTTTAAGACCCTACTGCAACACACTAAAAACACAGAAGAAAACATTTTAATTACAAAATTATATACTCTAAATTTAAACTTACCTCTAGTTGTAGGGTTTTTAATAGTAAAAAACGTCCCGCCATTATTTCTTGTTCAAAATAATCTATCTTATATGAAAGCCTATTAGCTTTCTACAGACTATTTATTTGTTTTAGCATAGCACAAGCACAATACACAACAATAAATTAGTTTTTAAAGCTATTAATCTAAATTAATATGTATTTATAAATACAATTTATTAATATATATTATATTATCTATCAAATTGTGTAAGAAATCAAAAACATGAACAAAATTCTTCAACAATTTTGCCACACGCTGAACTATCAATAAAATTTGAAGAATTCCCGTATCAGTTGCGTACAATTGTCTAATATATTTTAATTAAAATTATTATTTTGTGGAATATTAGACTTATTGAGTTATTTCATAAAATTTATGTTATTAATAATTACAAATGTTTTTGTTTATTTAATCAATATAATTCTAAAATTCCCAATATAATTACATTTCTCTGATTATTATACCATATTGACGCCTATGAAAGATCGAGCAGTTCCGTATGGGTTTCATATTATTAGGTGTGTTGGGAAAATTTGAACTCTTAGGTTGACGATCTAGAAATTTTAAATGTAAGTAACGTCACTTTATATGAATTGTGACGTGCAAGCAATTTTATACGAAAAGTGCTATACCTTTCGATCTCCTTCGCTAAACTTATGGGAACATCAATATTGGTATAATTCAAGTTGGTATTTTTCCGACCGCAGTGTTAACCTTCGAACCTTTGGGTGCTATATTTTTATATAAAATAAAAAAAATCGCATCTATTAGATCGGTCGCAACGCAATCTTGCCTTCATAATAATTGCTTGTTCAACGAAATAGATGCCGACTTTACATATCAATAAGACATTTACTCATCAGATACACTATACACAGCAGAAAAAGATTACACACAAGAGATCTTAGCCTTTGTTAGCATTAATAATTCTGGTCTAATTTTCTTTGTTGCTTTGGTAATATCATGCTAGAACTTGTCAACAGTTCTAGCATTTTCTAATATATCTTTTAATTTTATCCCCTTTGGGATTTGTTTTTCTTACTATCACATCATATTTAGCGCTTCCCTTAACGTAGTAGAAGTCATACAATGAGATATTGATTCAGTCACTTCTGGTTTCTGGTTCTGGTACGTAATTTCGATATATTCGATTAAAAGTAACAAACTTTTTTGTGTTAACAGGTTGAAACATTTTAAACTGTACTAAAATGCATGTCCTTTTGTTTTAATTTTTATATTTTATTTTGTTTTTAACTTCTTTCACAGCTTGGTGTGTTTAAACCCTACTAATTATATTGAAGTTAAATTATTTTCAGCTTTACTATTTGGCGGTCAGTTGGAAAACGCCCCGGGACCTAACAGTAGCAAGTACATCGGTTGCATAGACACCCAATGTGACGTCGTGAGTGTGATCAAAGATGCTTATGAGAATGCGAGGTTTCTCTGCGACCAGTACTATTTAGCTTCACCGGATCTAATCATAGATATATCTAGGAATAATGGTGAGTACCACTGATTTGTTACGTCATATTACAATTTCTTTATTATTTAATTTATTAGTACAATATTGTTAAATTACATATTTTTCCGCAAATCGCCAGGAAATTTTGACATTCCTGTCAAAATTTCTTGAAGAAAAAGTCAGGACTTCCTTACTGTAAGGAAATGATATTTCCGTACAGTTGTTAGTGTTCTACATAAATGATAGAAAAGTTTGACAATTCAACCTCAATACGTTTCCATAGTAACCCAAGTAATTTTATTAGGAATTTCAAAGCACCATTTATTTGGGAATAAAATTATCGCGTTTTTTTTTAAATCAATCAATATCTGTCGAATTTTAAACGATTTGCGGAAAAATAGTATGTTTACCTCGTAGGAAAAAGCCACATTCCTGGACTCTGTGTGTGCTAAGTCTCGGCTATGCGCCTGACTTAGCAATCTTCACAGTCGCCAGGAATGTTAAGCTTTTCTACCCGTAAACAATGTACTATTATTTAACTCAATACAACAATTAGTGAGTACATTAATGTACAATTTTTTTATCGAAAAAATTGCAGCTACAAATTCAAAAATATATATACGGTATGATACAAATCAACAAATATATAGAATAAATTCATTATTTAAGAAACAGACGACTATATTTATATAAATACGACTATGCACCGATGTTTCTTAATTCAATGGTAATGGTGATGAGTCATTCTCCTTCGATTTGTAATTCCGTCGTGTAGTCGGCGCTAGATGTGGTGGCTAGGTACAAATTGGAAATGCTTCTTCTTCTTCTAGTTCCATGACCGTTATCGATCGTTGGATATCATGTTGGCTACCATATTCGCTATCGTGACTTTATTGACAGCAGCTCTAAATAACGATGTAGTTGATTTTCCATACCATTGCCTTAGATTTTTCAGCCATGATGTTCTTCGTCTACCAGGACCACGATTACCTTGGATCTTTCCCTGAATGATCAGATGTAAAAGATCATATTTTCGGGTGTCTCATTGCTTTTTCAGTTGTGTTGTTTGGCTCAGCCGTCTAAGGACCTCCTCATTTCTAACTCTGTCGATCCAGCTTATTTTCAGTAGTCGTCTGTATACCCACATTCTCAAAGGCTGTCAAGCGTTTAAGCATAGCCTCAGTTAGAGTCCACGCTTCCACTCCATACAGCAGGACAGGAAAGATGTAGCAAGATGTCATACGAACTCTAAGGTCAATGCTAAGATCGTGACTGCAAAGTACGTTTCTCATTTTTACAAAGGCAGCTCGGGCTTGTTCTATTCGGCTTTTTAATTTCTGCGGTTGGATCCAGCTCTCATTGATATTACTGCCGAGATACACGAGTTTCTCTACTCTGTCCAGTGTGGCATCTCCGACTTTTATACCGTCATCCTGTATATAATTTTGTTTGCTAACTATCATATATTTAGTTTTCTTAACGTTGAGTTTTAATCCATACTGATCACAAGTCTGTTTTATTTTGTTCATTAGATTTTGAAGGTCTTCTCCGCAATTGGCAAGGACTAAGGTATCGTCGGCATATCTAATATTGTTGACGGTTACTCCATTCACAATAATACTTCGGTTGTCTCCATTAAGGCTTCCTTAAATATTTACTCCGAATATAAGTTAAAAAGTAAAGGCGACAATATACAGCCTTGTCTCACTCCTCTTTTTATATTTATTTCATCCGACAGTTCTTGTTCAACCTTTATTCTTGCCACTTGATGCCAGTATAGATTTGTAATTATTTGTAGATCTTTATCGTCCAATCCAGCTGTTTCCAATATTTCTAGCATTTTGTTATGTCGGACTTTGTCAAAAGCTTTTTCAAAATCGATTGCACAAATGTACACATTTTGATTTATATCTCTGCATCTCTGTACTAGCACCTGTATACTAAACAAGGCTTCTCTTGTACCCAAGCCACTCCTAAACCCAAATTGAGTATTGCTAATTCTGTCCTCTAACAGCGTGTAAATTCTGCTGTGTATTACTCGCAGGAAGATCTTCAAAACGTGACTCATCAGACTTATTGTCCGATAATCACCGCATGTCTTTGGACGATGTTTCTTAGGTATTGTGACAAATGTCGACTTTAACCAATCAGTTGGTAATATCCCAGTGTCATAAATTCTGTTAAAGAGATTACACAGAGCTTTAATTCCATTTTCTCCCAAAAACTTTAGTATTTCAGCACTTACTTCATCGGGGCCAAGTGCTTTTCCATTTTTTGCCGTTTGTATTGAACGTCTTACCTCACTTTCTGTTATAGATGGACCTGATATAGCAATCGGTGTATAGTGTTCTACTCTCTCATCTTCAAATAATTCAGAAATGTAGTTTTCCCATTCTTTTAACTTTTCATTGATGTCTAATATTCTGTGTCCGTTTCTGTCTTCTAAACTTTGGGATACTTGTTTCCGTTTGTTTCCAGCGACCTCTTTTAATTTCTTGTGCAGATGAAATGTATCGTGTTTCTTTTCATATTGTTCAATTTCATTACATTCTTTACTATGAAATTGTATTTTCGCGTGTCTTATCTTCTGCCTGATTATTGCGTGGATCCTCTTGTATTCGTTTTTTTTTGTTTTTAAATATTAAATGGAAATGCTTACCATTTAATATTTACTGTAATGTGAGGGTATCCATATATGGCGATAGGTTGGACAGTGGCAGCTGGCTGTTCCAAAAAACTGATCATGCGGCGAGAATGATAGCCACAGAAACGACACATATACGGACACATAGCGATGCAGAAGGCAATGGGAAACCACTGCACTTTTTCCCAAGAGAATTTCTTTCCATAACGATGACAATTTCAGTAAGTGAAGATGGGATGTGTAAGTAAGTGAACTCGGTCCGGGTCGGATGGTGTGAAATATGCTACCGGCTGCCAAGGTGTGAGGGACCAGGACTGGGAAGAAATTGGGCGACAGAATCCAAATTTTCACTCAATTTAAGAAAATGTCAGCGAATTGGTACATGGAACGTCCAGGAACTGATCCAAAACCCTGGAAAGTTATACACAATTGGAAAAAAAATGGCAGACTACAATCTTTCGGCACTGGGACTCTAACAAACTCACTGGAGAGGTAAAGGGCATTTTAAAACAACTGCTGGCAGCGTCGTCTATTTTTCAGGCCCAGATAACACAAGTACAAATGGAGTCGCAATAATTGTACCCTCTAAACTGAACTAAAAATAGACTACATCAATCAAGATGAAGTCGTTGGCCATTAACTGTAAAACATATCCTGGCGCAGACTGTGGAAGCGATCATCAACTCCTGGTGTTGAACATTCGACTTCGATTTAAAGTCCCCAAAAGGAGACCCCTAAGAAAAGTCATGTCCTAAATCCATCAAAAATCAATCACTTCCAACAAAACCTAGAACAAGCTCTTTCTTTAGACCAATACAAGTAGATAGTGGCCCTGAGAGCACTTGGATCGATCTCAAAGGTAAGATAATCGAGGCTGCAAAAGACTGTGAGGCAGCGGTTTCCACGGGTCGACATGCCTGTCGAAATGAACGGAGAATTTATTTCAGAAAACTCCTTACCGGAGAATTTAAATCTCAAACGTCGTCTGTAATAGATAAGGAAAGTTATCTAAAGACCGATAGTACGAAATATTGGAAACATAGCGAAACTACTATGGCGAGCTATGTAAAAATAACCAACAGAAAATCAATGGTCCTCTGACTACCCTAGAGAACCTACTGTATCATTCGTTGAAGTCAAAGATGCAATTCGCTAAAGAGAAATAAATCCCCAGGTTTTGATTCAATACCAGGTGAAATACTACAGTTACTAGCTAACAAAGGATTACATGGCATCCATTCTATCTATGAGGAGGCATTTGGAAATCAGGAAAATGTCCATCTGATTGCTGTACCTCAATTTATATCCCTCTACACAAAAAAAGAACTACTACCCGATGTGAAAACTACCGCACACAGTCGCTAATAACACATGCTAGTAAAATCTTGTTGCATATCATCAAAAACAGATTAAAAACCTATCTACATTACCAAATACCCCAAAAACAAACGGGGTTTGTAAAGAGTAAAGGTCACAACTCATTGAAAAGTCTAGAGAATTTCAAGTACCTATGATTATATGCTTCGTTGACCACCAAAAAGCATTTGATTGTGCAACCTGGATAAATCTGTGGTTCATTTTAATAGAAATGGACACACTAATGCACCTGGTGACACTTATTAAAAATCTGTATCAGTCCAATATAGCAACAGTAAGACTAGATCAAAAGTTCTCAATTCAAGACCGATAGAGGTGTTAGACAAGGATGAGTGTTGTCACCTGACTTATTCAACATTTATGGTCATGAGGATGACTTTAAATGGATGGGCCGGATGGATTAACAGTGGCTGGTAGGAAAATCTCCAATGTAGGATTTGCTGATGACACTACACTTATAGCAGCAAATGAGCAAGAAATGTTTATTCTCCTGCGAAGAGTTTAGTACGAAAGCAATAAAATTGATCTGAAAATGAATAAAGCTAAGGCAAAAATAATGGTGGTCAACAGATTCCACACTATTCAACTGTTTTAACATGTTACAAGAATACCAGATAGTGGACAGTTTTGTCTATCTCGGGTCTAGTATAACTTACGCTGGTAACTGTGAAGCACAAGTTCGGAGACGTATTGTTATGGCAAAAAATGCGATGAGTCGCCTAAGTAAAGTTTGGAAAGACAGATCTATCTCTCAAAATATCAAAATGAGTCTGGTAAATGCCCTTGTATTCTCAATATTTTTATACGGGGCAGAGACTTGGACTCTTCGCGGGTGCGAGCGCCAAAAAATTGATGCCTTTGAGATGTGGTGCTGGAGAAGAATGTTGCGCATACCTTGGACAGCTCACAGGACAACGTTTCCATTCTAAACCAACTCGAGATTAAAAAAAGGCT